TACAGAATTATACACAGAGTTGCGTGTCTTAGTATTAAAGTAAATGTTAAAATCTGATGCAATCTATTTTTAATTATTTTTTTTTCTTTTTTAAGAGCATAAAATCAACCGACAAAGAAGTTTTATTGACCTTTTTTTTTCCCGCGTGAAATACATTAGAAAAAATTGCTTTGACTTCTTGAATGTCAAATGTTGGGGGGGGGGAAATAATTATCTTTTGACAAACCAAACAATGGGTGCTTCTCCCAACCTGAATTCTCTGATTTTTCGCATTTTTCTCTTATTTTTTAATAGAAAAATAACGATTATTAAAACACAAAACAAAACAAAAAATCAAACAAAAGCCAAATGGAAACAAAGCCTGAGTCTTAAAAAAAATCTCCGACTCAAAAATTTAAATTGCGAACTTTAAAATTTAATTTTTTTCTTAATCATTTATTATTCATTTTTCAAAAAAAAAAAATGCTTTTATTTTATCAACCTGACCTAACATTTTCTACCTTGAAGATATCAAAAATGTCTGGGATGATCATAATTGTCAGCTGGCAATACACGAGGTCATTCTACAAGCTCTCTCTCTCTCTACAAATTAATAATGTTAACGAAAAAGTAATGGAAAAAAACACATGACAAGATATTAGTATTGAAGGATATAAAAAAAGCGCTGTGAACAGCATTCGAACCTGTGCAGGAATATCTCATTAAATCCTGTGCCTTAAACTCTCAGCAATCTTAACTTTTAGTTACTTGCCTTCATTTCCTCAGAAAACATATTAGTATTGAAAAATGTTAAAAACTTCCTAAATGAAAGCACCTCTTATCTACTTATACTTTGTCGGAAAGTAAAAAAAAAATCCCTCTTCAGTAAGTTTGTTTCCAGACAGGTGGTAGAAATCGTGGTAGTTAATCAAATGAAATTTTAATCGAATTGATTTACTGCCATTGTTTGGAGGCCCAATATAAAGAGAAAATTACGCCTGATCACTGAGGTTTCACAAAGATCCAAGATCATCCAAATACATCGAAGGCAAAAGCATCTCGTACAACCGACTGTTACCTTCTCGCCAAATTTCTTAGCTGTTCCGGCACATTTCCGACCATCATTTTCCGACCAATCGTTGTATCCAACATTAGGCGGCAGATTGCAGTTAGGTTTCTCATCACTTTTCCAATTCCACAAATTCTGGCGAGAAGAGGAGAATAATGTCAACTGGCACTCACAGGTAGTACAACTCTGAATCTTCAGGTGCTGATATTCAATATATATATATATATATATATATATATATATATATATATATATATATATATAGATCCGAGAGTATGAAGAAAAATATACGGAAAAAAACAAAAATCCTAATATGCAATTATGCTGTTTTAATGTTAATATAATGTCAACGTCGGACGTTTCGGTCTAATAGACCATATTCAGGACATATTCATATAACATAATTAACATTAGACCATATTCAATTCAACATGAAAAAGACGATGGATATAAGAGCAAGACCAGTCCAAACAGATAACTGAAATATTTTATAAGATCAGCGTTCCGTTTAAATATGATCACGTCGTCGTCACGTGGGCGATGTCGTGAAAACGTATTCCTAAAATTTGAGTATTTTGAATGAAAAACGAAAAGAATTTTATTTTGATCTAAAACTTATATGTACGTTTGTCGAGCATTAATCTTGCTAGAAAAGCGGAAATATTAAAGAAGCCAGGTCTAGTGTTCACCGTGCGTGAGATAGATATTTTGCCTGCTTCATAAATCCGCCTAAGATTTTTATTATGTATATATATATATATATATATATATATATATATATATATATATATATATATATATATATACATCGAACTATTGTAATAGTGGAGCAGTGCATATTATTTACTGGGTTTGTTTAAAATCAGTATATATAAATTTATTTATACTTATTTTATGCCGCCAGACAGTTTAGACTTTAACGGACACATTATCACATATCGGCCATTACAGATTTTCTCGTCTGCCTTTGCTGCTTCGGCAATTTGTTGGAGATTCTTCTCCGGCTGAGCTAGTCGATCTCTCTGGAGAAAGGAACCCAGACGAGGCTATACTACCCAGCCACCCGACACCGTTTTTACGGGTTCGACGGGGAAATTTTACCCGAGCCCACGGGCCCGGTTTTACCCCGCATTATATAACGGCTTTGTGCCACATCCTACCTCTATGATAGGGAGTGGTGAGGTAAATAACCTTTGCTGCCACAGTCATTTTTCTTTGAATCTATTTTTGCGCCCTTAATTCATTCTGATTTAATTATATATATATATATATATATATATATATATATATATATATATATATATATATATATATATCCAAATATATAATTGATGTATACGGAATGAATTCCAATAACCAACAATTACTATTCTTAAAAGAGTGCTCAATACAAAGTAGAGCAGATATAAATTATTTATTTAAAAAAAATTATAACAGAAATATGTTATAAAA